AACAACGCTGCGACCCGCATCACGCCCCATGGTGCGCCCGCGAAATTCATTTTATTCCCAAAATATTCCTGGGGGGTCCCTCCTTTTCCAGGACCTCCTCTGAATATTTTCGCATTTTTTTTTTTCGGATTTAACCGGCCGGCCAGAGCAAGACAGGGGATTCCAAGATCCGCTGTGTGGGGACGAGTCTGCAGGCCCAGAGTTGGAAAAGAGTACGCACAGACCTCTGCTTCATCGCTGATGCGAGTCATCGACCCGTCCTCGCTTGCGCTGATCCTGAAAGAAGCGATAAGTTGCCAGTCGAATAGAGCATCGCCGCCGCAGCGCCTATCGAGCTGTTATTGTCTTCACCGATGCCTTATTGCTGGGCGCATTCTCACCTAGTTACTTTGGTCCGAGAGCCTGCTGTACTACTTGCCACTTGCCTTGCTCTTGCAGCCTTGTCATCCATGGACTCCGACGATTCTGAAAGCGACTCGCAGACTCCAGAGAATGGGGGGTAAGGAAATCGAGGAGGACCCAATTTCGTGCTCTTGATGGATATCGGATGTAACATCTCGAAACAGGGGGGCCAAGTCAGTACAACGACACGGCAAGGGCATCAATGTCAAGTTCGACTTCTACCCCCTCGACAAGTCCAAAGGCAAGCGACGATCTGACGCAAAGCCGTTATGCGCTTCATCGAAGCTAGCGATACACGAGGACTTCCCTTTGCTTGACTTTCTTACGCATCTTCTGGCGGAAATCAACCATTTCGAGTTGCTGTCCTGCAGCAGACTTGTTCGTCTCGCTCGGCTTCAACCAGACTCTCCGGACTTGTCAAATAGCTTTGAACTCCAGTATTCTATCTTCGGAACTTCTGACAAAAATATCAATATCACTTCTGTGGCTGCGTACCAAACCATGATCGAGGATGTAGTCAGGCGACGTCAGCCACAACTTGTCGTCAAGCTCACCGAGCTCCCTGTTGAAGTAAGCCCTTGTTTTGAGTCATAGCTAAGAAATGACCTAGCATATACTCTATTGATGTTTGTTTATAGCAGGATGCTGAAGACACCGAACACATAGAGGCCGATGCCACGACACCCTTGCATGAAAACCCCGTCGACGAAGTTGACGAGTCAGAACAGCCACCCTCAAAGAAGTCAAAAACTGCTGCGGCATCGGTAAGTCTCTGTACCTCCATTGTCCATCTGAGTAACCTGCATATACGCATATACGCACCACAGGCAACTCTCTCCGAACGCGATAAGGAAATCAACAGCCGCGGATAGACCAACTCCAAGGAGAGCATGCGTGTCGGAAGTCCGAATGTCCAAACGAGCACTGTGTTATATACGGACCAAAAGCGTCACATGGTAAGCTGACCGGTCGCCACTTCAATCAGTGGGCGACGTTCTGGGTACGCGTATCTTTCTTGCCTCTCTGTCCCCCCACATCGAGATAACGCGGTTTATACACCTTGCCGTAGGTCAATCAAAAGGAAGGTGTCGACCTCGAGACCCCGCCAACCGGCGGCATATTCAATTTCAGCGCCACTCGTGAGGCTAATGAAGACATCACCGATATCAATCTTCTCTCCAGCCGTCAACTCCAAGCTGCAACAAATCGATCACCGAACGTCGAGATCAGCTTCAACGGGCTTGCCGAAACCATCAAGGCCCTTCGTAACGACGCCACTCACCCACCCAATCAAGCACCTATCACACCTGCTCCCGACATCCTTCGCTTGCCTGCTGTGCCTCCGCCTAGACTACCACCACGCTTGGGCCTGGCAGACTTTGGCACGCAGTACACTATCTCCGCAGAGACCATCACACAACTTAGGCTTATGAAGGTTGTTGGACCTCATGTGCTACGTTTACTCTCAAAGGAGGATTTGTTAGCAGAGGGCTTGTCGCGGGGGCAGGTTGCTGAGGTCCGCGACGCGGAGGAGCGATGGATGAAGGATATTGCTACGGTGCCGTGGCGGTGCCACATGCGTGTTCTCATTCTCAGATTTCTTTGTTCACACGCGCTCTCTCGTACTTAGCTGCTTCATGGTACCTTTCTTGTACTCTATGTGCTTGTATCAACTAATTTTGCTCGACATTTCATCATGGTATAAGAGTGTCTAGGAAGAGGAATATGTACTGAAGGGATCTACAGGTAGTTCGAGTGAGAGAAGAATCCCCAAGTCATCTCGGGAGTGATGATGTCACATGCTAAGTACATCTCCAAGTGAATTTCCTTCGCGGTGAACTGATACATACCGTGACGACGTAGATGTGCCTTGATTGCAGAG